TACTGGTAGCCATATTGGCCTGTAAAGAAAAAGTATCTTGCAGATCCGATGATATCTTGATTTTGACAAGGTCAACTAATGTGCCACAGAATTGTGGGATTAAATGACGCCTTTAAATTGTTAAGATACAGTACTGATGTTTTCAAGACATTAAAATTATCTAGCTGATAATCATAACTGATCCAATATTTGGAAGCAAAGCTGGAAGTTTGGAGTGCAATGAAAACTGAAATTCTTCCACTAAGTGATAGCATCTAAAAAGTCAGCTATGTGTTTATGGATCCCTTTTCCAGCTTTCCTGATCTTGTCTCTTTAAGGAAAGAAAAAGTTCAGCCCTCTTTTGGCTTGCATGCGGGTGTCTTTACAGTAGAGAGAGCCAAGCCAAACAACCCAGATCCCCTCCCTCATCACGTTTATATATCCAGCCTGCTGAGACTGGATCTCTCTGGCTCAGAAAATACTTGGCAGCTGCAGGAAAAAAAAAAAAAAAGCATGTGTGGGTTTAATTTTTGTTCCTTTCCTTAACCACTGTGGTGGTGGTAGTGAAAGTTCTCAGGACTATGATAAAACTTTTTTTACAAAATGAAATGGCTCTCAGTGAATAAAAAAGGCAATTCAAACTCCCCTTAGAAAATTATTCAGTGAGCTAGTAGTAGCATTTATATTTCACTCTTTTCTGAAGGCTGAGGTATACTTTGGTCTAATATCTTTGAAATTTGTTTACTAGATGAACTATATATAGTGAAATATCATGTAAATGTAGTTAATGTACTAGAAAGTCTCCAAGAACTTCCATAAGTGTAAAAACGCACATCAAGAGCAAAAGGTGTGCAATGAAAAGCACAAAGAAATAGCACATGGAGTAAGCACAGGTAGTTTCTGCTTCAAGCAAAAACAACAACAGATCAGTGCCTTGCTCAAGGCTACATAGCACAAACCAGGATGTACTTAGCCTATAAAGCATAAACCAGAATGCACCCACCCTACATTGTAACACGTAGGTGTTTGAAGGAGTACAATGTGAGGGAGAGGTGCTTGTGTTTGGCAAGCATTTATCAAGGCTTGATATTTGGTGCAAACATAATACCAAGGACCCCAATTTTTTACTCTAATAATGGGGTAAGTACTGTGCCTGCAACCATCTCACTGGATTCTGATAAACTTCCTCACTTATCCAGATTTTTAAAGAATTAATTGACATTTTAATTTTGAGGGGAGGCTGATAAGTTGCAAAGCCCCAGTACTGGCCTCATAGGCAATCTTAGAATGAGAAAATAGTGCATAGTTGTAACTGAATGTCTTTTCTTACATGGCATGCCTTATAAAAGTTGCCTTTAAGTTGAGCTTGATAACTTACATGGATATTTTCTTATATTTTTTTCTGCAACACCAAATGCTATGATCACTTTCTGGAATGTTTTAAAGACTTCCCAGTCTAATTTATGCTCTCCTGAATATCCTAGTCCAGGGCTTTTCAACCTTTTCACCCATTGTACCACTTTTAGGATATGGCAACATCCGAGTACCACCAGTCGTCTAGCAAGGTGTCAAAAACTTGACCAAAAAAAAAAAAAAAGGAAAAAAGTGATAAAGTACAGGTAGTCCTTGACTTACAACAGTTTGCTTAGTGACTGTTCGAAGTTACAATGGCACTGAAAAAAGTGCCCCCAAGCCACAGCCGAGCAAGACACCTGCCTGTCCGCCCAGCTGCGCTCTTCCTCCTGTCCGAGGTTTTCATTGTTGTGAGCATTTCTGTTGAGGATTGGCAGTGGGAGGGAGCGGGGTGGGGGTGTGGTTGGTTTTTATTCCCCCCCCCATCTGCTGGGTGGTTGCAGCAGGTTTTGGTCACTTCACATGACCCTGGGACACTGTGACCATCATAAATATGAATCAGTTGCCAAGCATCTAAATGTAAATCACAAGACCCTGGAGATGCTGCAACATTCCAGCTGATTGATTGGTGCTTCTTTAAAAAAACAAAAACAAATTTTATTGGTTTTTTAATTAATACAAAGTGCTCGAGACACACCGTGGGGCTGGGGTAATCAAAAATCCAAAAACAAAACATACATAAATAATTCAATCAGTACATCAAATATTCCCTCTATTTCTCTCAAATAGCTTATATGTTTAAACTAGTCTATTTCTACCTTAAATTTCTATTAATCCTAAACCTTTTTTAAAGCTTTATGCAAGTACAAGACCATAATCTAATTTAACTTCAAATACACACATTATCAGTTCAGGTATCCCTTCCAAATATGTCCTAATTCTTTAATTTCATCATAAATCTTATCTATTTCTTCTTCCACAAATATCTCCCAATAAAAATAAAATATTAATCTATCCTATACATATCTAATCCATCAATCCATCATTTTTTTGTTAACAAAATAATAACAACCTTAAATCATTTGAGTCCTTTAGACAAGGTTCTGTTTTCATCCAATTAATTATCAAACCTAATATCATCCATATTATCAGACAAAACACATCATCTTATTAAAATCACATTCAATTATTAATTCAATCCTGATTGGTGCTTCTTCTGGGCTCAGCAGAAGCGCCAGGATCAGTGCTGCTTTCCAGCTGTTTGATGCTTCTTCAGGGCTCAGCAGAAGCACCAGGATCAGTGCCGAGCTCCAGCTGGAGCCTGGTGCTGATCCTGGCGCTTCCCCTGAGCCCTGACAACCCTGAAAAGCGGCACTGACAGCCCTGCAGCTCCAGCCATCTCTTGCTCAGGCTTGTGTGGTACTGCCACCGGTTCAGCTCATTCCCCTCCCCTGCTACCACTTTTCTAGAATGGTCGCATACCACCTGCCAGATACTAATGTACCACAGGTGGTACCCGTACCACTGGTTGAAAAACCCTGTCCTAGACAGTCTCCATCCAAATACTAACCAGGAATGTTTCTGCTTAGTTTTCCAGATCAGTCAAAATTGACTTGATGCTGTCATATTGGTTGGGCTGATATGCTTATACGTTGCTAATTTGAATATGATTAATTCAGCCCAAGTAGTCTGAATTGCATGATAGACAAATTACCCAAGTTAGCTAGTTTGGGGTTCAGTATACTAGTAAATAGAACCATTGCTTTGGCAGAGTGCCCAGTTGTCTTGAAAAACAACAGAACTAAGTTGGGGTGATAGAGTGGGGTGATGGGAGCAATCCCAGCAGTTTGCTTTTTGGTAAATGCAGCTTTTGTTAATATCCATGCTTCCTTTTCAGAAGCACCTCCAACATATCCCTAACTTTTTTAATATGCCTAATTCTAAACTACTCAATGAAACAGTGTAATGTTATCTCCCGCAACTGATATAAGTAGGGTTACTAGATCTGGGATTTATTGTTTCTGGTTTTTTTTTTTTTGCAGTCTAACTTACTTTACAAAAAGCACCTTGGACATAAATCCTTCTCAGCTAATGGATATGTAGAGATCTATATAATTTATCAGCTGACTTGAGATAGAACTTGCTTGATAGGTTTGCACAACACATATATTGATGCCTTATTAGAATTGGGTAGGTGATGATACTGTCAATCTCCAGCTCAAGTATCCAAATCAAAGTCCAGGATTATTTTCATTTCTGAAAAGCTTACTGTTTATTGAATACATGGCCTGGTAAAGGTGAGGTAAAACTAACTCTAAAATCCAAGGCATCAGACCATAGCATACAACAATTTCCCCAGCCATACACCCCCCCCCATGTCCACATTTCTTTGTTATGGGACCTGTCTGCTATCTTCTTCACACCTGCTAGAATGTCCTTGAAAGGTTTCCAGACTGCTGACTCTCAGCAAGCTTCCATAGAACTAGAGAGGTTTCGTTTCTCTAATTAACCCATTTGAAACTAACACTTCCCCCCCCCCCTTACTCTAATGACAACATGGAAACAGAGAGGCACGTACCTGCCAAATTTTCACTCTTGACAGATACATTATGGGAACCCAGCCCTTATTTTAGAATGCTAATGCTGTATGAACTGGTCTATCACATTAGGCCATAATATGGCTTATTTGTTTGGGGACAGCATATGAACACAGCAATTTTATGTTCTTAGTATCAGTTTAGTATATTACAAGAACTCTAAGGCTAACAGATTGCAAAATTCTGACAGGACCAAATAGCAGAGGTACAGAAAATGTTAAATTTAGCAATCAAGTAGTCATATGAATTTTTACAGTCCATATTTGGTAGCCCTAACATAATAATCTTATTGTGGAAAGTAGCTTGGTTATAACTTTGGTACAGCTTCATCATGATTAGCCATTACTACAGTATTCAGAATTTGTTTTGAACTAACTCTGTATTTCATAGGGTTGATTTCCCATGGGAGGGCCATGTTAGTCTTTTGGATACATTTTTAAATGCTACAAAACTCTATTTGAAATTATCTACAACAGGCATGTCAAACCTGCGACGTCATGTGGCATCACACGACGTATCGGGACTTTTTCCCATTGCCGGCAATGGGGTGGTACGTTTCAACGTGACGCATTCGATCTGTGGGCTGGCAATTTGACATGCCTGATCTACAATGTGTAGTCTTTAATGGAACTACATCTACATGGAAGAAAGTGAATGAATAGGATTACTTTTGAAATTTACGTTTTTTGAAATCAAAAACAATTTTGAACTGAACGTTCCTATTTAAAACTCATTCACTTCTTGTAACAGGAAATTAAGAGAATAGTTACTAGCATTCACATTTATAGAAAACTTCTTTGTAGAGTGCACAGTGGTCAAATAGTTAAAATCCAAATCCCAGAAAATAGACACTCATCCTGTATGAAGTTGCACGTTGTTGTTTTTTTTGAATGAAATAGAGGGCTTTCTATCTTGCTGTGGAATAGAAGGATACCTCAGGATGTTTTGCAGAGCACTCTTAACCTTAACCGTGGTTATATAACTACCGTAGCAGGGGCCACATCCTCTCTAAACCGTTTACACTTTACATGGAGGAATGTAGATTACACATGACAACATGCACAAGACCAGTTAACATGGATTAAGTATTTTAATGTTAAGTATTAAACTACTATCAAATAATTTATTCCCATCTGTTCAATGTATGCTTATTAAATAAGAATCCTAATTATGAGGGATAACAGTCTTCCCAATTAGTTAAAAGAGTATACAGCGTATCTAGTACTGTAAGTAAAAAATCTTTAAACTAGATTTTAAAAAATAGAAACAATAATCAATAGGAGCTATTGTTTCTGCTGTTTTTAAAATCATTTTCATGTGGTGTTTTATTGCCTTGCTGAGTAATTTACATGTGTTAGTATTTGTATACTTTTGATTTTTGTAAACAATCCTCAGATCAAAGATAAATTTCTTAATAACAAAGGAGCCCCAATGAAATAACATAGTAAAGCAGCTTAAAAAATAATAGTGAGGGATTTCCAGTTATTGAAACCATAATTATTAAAATCTTTATTTGCTAGGTGACTTTCAGGCAGATATCAAAAATCTGATTTTAGACCAACATAGTTAATACTTTGCTTAGTGACAGCATTCAATTTTTTTATAACTGGTTGAATACAAGTCTCAGCTGTGTTGCACGTGCTCATTTTATTAGAAAAGCACAGAATGTTGGCAAAATATCCGTTTTTTCCCTAGTGAAAAGTGCGAAGGAAAGTTGGCCATTGACCTACAGAATGTGTTGGTCCTTGGCCAGAGGTAGCCACAAACTGCTTTTACTTTGGATGTTAGAAAATGAGTTGGGAGGGTCCATAGTTTTCAGCAGTGCATACCCATTATATGCAGACAATGTCAGGTTTAGTTTCTGGGATTTTCAGTGGCAAACATCTTGGTTAGGAAGGCAGGATGAGATCTCCACTTGATATATTGCAGTATGTTGGGGATTTTTGAAACATTGAGTATACAAATAGACATTATACGTCAGCCAATTTGGTCTAGTCTAGTGAGCAATGCTAGAAACTATAGACTGAATTCTGGTCCTGCCTTACGTATGAAAGCCAACTGGGTGACTTTGAGCCAATCAGTCTCTCAGCCTCAACAAGCCAGTTGGTCAATTTCTGTTGCAACCAATGGATCAACACTTGGACCCTGCACCTGTGAGAAAACACTAAGGAAAAAAAAGGTAGACATTACATGGCACAAAGCAACAAAAATAGTTCCACTAGAACACATTAAATCAATTGCCCCTCGTGAGGTTTCTGGAAGACTACCCATATAAACTTTTTCAATCATCCCTCTCTGTGTTTCTTTTTTAAACATCAGCTCCATCATAACCTTTAGGTCAGCTCTTTATTTCAGGATGTTGAAATGTGTGGACAATCATTTTTCTGGGATGAGGATTCCTGCACTGGGCAGAGAATTGGACTAGATGACCTCTGGGGTAAAATTCTACAATATACCAAAAATTTTGGTATCTGGATTAGTTGCCCTCTAAAAGTCACTGAGCTGTTCCTTATTAGCAATCCTTAGTGGAACTCACTCTGCCTTTGCTGCGGGTATAGACAAATGTCTTAGTGTAGTGATGCACTGTCTTTAATAGGCAAATGCTTGGCAATGCAAATACAGTGGAAAAGGGCTGTGCAAATCATAGCCTGGAGATCATATTTACCCAGTGTTGACTTGAAAGTCAGCATTTCTCCTTCAAACTTAAGTTGGCAAAAAGCAACAGAATACTAGAACAACATTTGCTGTCCTATTGCTATTCCTCTCTCAATTCTGTTCCCCGTCATCTGACTTCGGGTAAAGGGGAGGGGTGGGAGCCTAAACGCTTTACATATTTTTGAGGCTGCCCTTGCATAGCATGCAAGAGGAAAAAAAGAGGAAAATACTACTCTAACACCACTACAGCTAATAATGGCTTAAGCTTGTCTTACACTATCATAGGCTGGGAATGAGAAGGCAGTTGGAGGAGCCAGGTTAAAAAAATGTTGCAAGGGCACATGCACACAGCCAAAGATAGCACCATGAAGAATGGGGAAGATTAGTTATTTTCAGCATCCCTGGCAACACCAAATAAAAAAGATTTGATATAAACAGCCTTGTGGATCCTATTACGGTCTTCTGTTCATTCCTTACCTAGGAGTATGAAACCCGTGTTTTGGGATTTCACGTGGTGAAGCAAGCCACTGAACAGGGAGTGGGAAATGGGAAAGACAAGTTAAGTGTCTGCAGGAGGTGACCCCACTCACCACTGGCTTCAGTTCCTCCCAATATGGGTCTTTACCTGGGCCCCACCATCAGCAATGCAGAACCTGCCAAATTATACCCGGGCAAAGTCGGCCCTCCAGATGTCGAAGAATTCCAATATTCCGGACAGCAGGGGTAAGGATGTTCGGGGTGGCAATTCAGGAAGGCTACAGTTGCCCTCAGAAATTCATTGCTCGGCACCGAAAAACGTCCTGTTCCTCGAAAGTTGTGGGATTTGGGGCTCTTTCGGGCACAATCAGCTACTCTTTTTAACAAAGCACCATCTTAAGATCTGCCATTTTTTTAAAGACTTGTTTTTTTCTTCTCTGTCCCGCTGAAGACGATACTACATAACCCACTGTCCCAAACAGTGAACGATTCAACGGAAGTTTTTTTTAGTCTGGCCTTCTCTGGGACAAGCTTCACACGTGCACACGGCTGGAAATGGAAGATTAGGCCGCCAGATCGCTTCGAAGTAAACAAGCCCACAACTCGGCTGTCAAACATGATAAATGTGTACCCAACGGCGGTAGAAGCTTTTATGACTGGGCGTGCGCGAGGGGGAGGAGAGGCGGAATCCCGGCCGACCGCCTCTCAAGCGGGGGAAGGGACGCTCCCCCGCCTCGCGGCGAAAATAGCAAAGCCCGCCCCTTCACAGCGGGAGGGTGAGGGAGGTTCCTTTCCTATTGCCTTAGCAGCTCGAGCGCGCGTTCTTGCAGCTGGATGCTATTTTAGCCACTGAACGTGCTCCCGCCCTTAGTGATAAGGTTCCTCTTAGCGTCTTTGCCAGTGGCTTTTCTTTCGTGATTGGCTCTCTCTTTCCCCCTCCCCCGCCCTCTCTGGGTCTCCTCCTTCCCACATCCTCGTCTCTTGGCCTCCAGCGCCAACTCTTCCCGGTTTGGTTTCGGATTGGTCAAGCTTGCATCCCAACTCCTCCTTTAAGCGTTACGATTGGATAGGCGCCTCGGTCGCTGGGATCTTTGATTGGACACCGCTCTTCCCTCGTTGGGCCACCACCCTTGACATAAGCCCCAACCTGCAGCTCTGGCTGTTCTGTGAGGGGGGAGGGAGAGAACTGTTTCCACGTGGGGAGTGGCACGTAGTCACTTTCCGCCCTGCCTGTAAGCTGAAGCAAATGAGGAGGCTGAGTGCTTGCCCAAATCACGTGGGACGAGGGGAAACGGAATGGAGCGATCCTCCGATTTCTCAATTGGAAGCGCTTTTGTGCGTGGCCGCAGCGATGCTTTTTCAAACGGGAGGGGAACTTCAGCGCAGATGCTGTCCCGCCCGTCCCGCGATTGCTGTCAGCTGCCTCTTGAATGCATGCAAAACAAACGAGTCTTAACCTTGTGGCTGAATGCGCGTGCTTCCTCTTGCTCCCATTAGTTGATTAAAACATAAAAGCTGCCATGAATGCTGTTGCATTTTATCTCCCAGAACCTGATTTTATAATGTGCTAAATAATCTAAATAACCTTGGCTCTTTTATGACTCGTGGACTTCAATTCCCAGAATTCCTGAGCCAGTTTAGCCCACGAGTCATAAAAGAGCCAAGGTTGACTACTCCTGATCTACCACCTGATTTTCCAGCCAGTAATGCGTCTCGAATCTAGGGAAACTTAGGCCGCATTCAGGAAAATCTGTAGAGGCTTCACAGCAACAGAATACTGTGGTGTAGTAATTGTCTATGTGTACTCGGAAATGAACTTAGTTGTTTTTGATGGGAGCTCTTAAATAAAGAGAGCTTTGGATTTTGTTCTAATTAGATTCTTATTTTGAAGTTTGGTATATTTGTGCAAATTTACATTCCTTTTTTCCTTATTTGGAAACTTTTTTCTGAAAGAAATCTAATAGTTCATTTGACATTTTCTTAACTGCTGGTGACCTCTTGGGTTTTGGGGGGATGTTTCTAGCTTTGAATAATCCTGAACAATAGAGAATTGACCCCTCACATTTCTGTTTCAACTTCCAGGTTACTAATCTGTTAATTTAGAAGTTTCCTTTCTTTTAGTGCACAGCTGATTGTCTTGGCAATTTTCTGGTTACATGTAAATATGAAGCCATTGTGTTTACTGTTTCCAATTAGTTCAGAGAAACCTTGCATTTTTAGGATTAGTTTGAGGTCATCTCTAGTAGGTTCAATTAATAATGTATCATTATTTTAATATTTTCTCCTGGCTCCCAGATTTTATTTTGCATCTCATCTTGCACAGAAAAATAGCACGCCCTAGGGCAAAATTAATTTTGCATCCTTGCATTTTCATCCACAGCCATTATGGGGAAGAATTGGGCCCTTTTTGAGGTTTCTGACTTCTTTGAAATTATGCTTTCTATAACAGACACATAACCTGATTGCGTATTTCTTCTCCTATTCTATTTAATAAATTTACATTTACATGATTATCTTGGTTCTATTCACAAGATATTTATTCTGTATTTATTTTTTACTTTTCACTCCCCATCTTGGCACAAAGGTTTATATTTAACAAAGAAACAGATAAGCACAGTGTTTCTCTTTTGTATCTCTGGATTTAATGCTCTCCTATGTCTGTTTGGTCTGTTTATCATATTCTGTTTTCTTGTGGTCTATTTCTCCTTCATCATTTGGCCGATCAGCAACATTTTGACCCTCATCCCACTAGTGATGATTCATCACAAAATGGAAGGTCAGGTTTTTTTTTCCAAGGGCCCAGTTTGTTTGTTTTTATTATCCTACTCAGATAAAACTCCAGAACGATGCAAACTTTGTGGGCCTTTACCAGGTTTTGTGCCAGTAAATTAGTTTTGGAGATTGCTGCATGGCTACTTTCCTGCTTTGCAACTTTCTCCCCTAAGGTGATTTCTAAGGTGGTATTACAGAATGTTAGGATGATTGCTCTTGGAGAGTTTTAATATTCATGTTGAGGCTGTTATAGGGATGGGCAAGTTTAGATGTGATATTATAAAACTCTCAGTTTGACATTATCCAACATTTAGAGTAAGTCATGGCTTTGTTTTAGTCTTTGTCTTGGGACATGAAAGGAATAGTCTGGTTACCATGGAAGTGAAAGTGATATTTGCGTATTGTCATGGCCAGGCCAATATTTAGTGAAGTTTTATCCCACATAATCAAACTGTTATTATGGGGTAAAGATTGCTCCTTGAGGTTTGCAGATTCTGAAAGATTTCTGAATACTCTTATACCAATGTCCTAAATCCAGCTGAGGATTTCTGTGAGTTGAAATCCACACATTGTAAAATTGTTGAGGTTGAGAAAATTGCCCTGAGTGGCAAAACACAAGGATACTTACATGATCACTCCCAATCATAGCAACCTGTAGAGCTGGCTCTGTTTCCTGGGAACTTCTGAGACATTAAGATCAGTGGGATAGATATTATAGCACATAATAAAGCCAGAGTGTACTGTACTGGTCAGAGCGGCAAAGCTGGCAACTTCATATGGGATTTCTATGCCATGCCTAAGTATTCTTAATCTATCACCGGTGCTTGCTTTTTTAACACAACTGTAGCCATTGCAATCTTTCAAATGTTATCTTAACATTTTCATTGGAGAACCTCATTAGAGAGTCTATGTGGTCTATTTCACCATGGGGAGGAGTTGTCTCTCAGCAAGTGCTTTCAAGGATCTGATGAAGAACACTCCTTGTGTTCATCAGATCCATGAAAGAATAGAGGGTTTGATGGCTTTATCTCCCTTCAATTTTGTTTTTTTATATATATATACAGTACAGGGAAATAAATATACCCAATCCTGTTCCTTCTATTGTACTACTTGAGTTTTTCTGACTGTTAGCAGATCCTTTCAGTATTTTGTCAGAACAGTCAGCTGACTGAAGAGAGCAGAGGAAAATTACGTTCCTTCCACAAAGTATCTCTAGGCTTCTGCTTGAGGTGTGGGCCTTTTTAAACTCTTGTGCTGCATGAATGCACATACACTAGCAATTTTGTCAAGGGCTTTTGCTGTGCTAGGGCTCTCCTTCACAGTCCTCTCAGCCACCTTTAGTGTCATATTCATGTTATATGTTGGAAAGTACTGTTTAGAAATAATTCCTACTCTCCAACATTTGCAATGCCACACAACTATGGCTTTTGTTCTACCATCGTCACAATTAGCAATGGACTTTTAAATGCAAGAGGAGGGGGAGCTGGGTGACTATGCACCTCTGTTTTTATAGCAATTGTTTGGTTCTGGGGTTTATTTTACAAATAACCAAAAAAATGTAGCCAGTATGTTCTTGGGTAGTAGGAGCCAGCCATTTTATTTAATTTGTGTAGGAAGTAAGAAAAAATTTGTTGCTTCAGAATCAACAAGGGATGGGATGGGTTTTGCCCTGAGATGGGCAGTTTCTACATTTGATAAATAAATGAACAAATGCCAATTGATTTTTGGGGGAGGGGCAGTCACCTTTCCTATTTGTCAATCCAGTCAATCTCAGTTGATCTTGAAAATCTAAACAATGTTGTGTTGCTTAAATTAAATTTAAATTAAAATGTTGTTGAGAAGATAGGAGGAAGAAGGTATATTATGTATATGCACAATGACTTGAGTTATTTATAAAATGTTGAATCTGGATGGGAAACTACCAGGAATTCCCAACATCCAGGGAGAAGGCAATGGCACATCACTTCTGCATTGTTGGCATGAAAACTACATGGATGTATCAAACTTGACTTGAGAAAGTTGTTATCTTTACAGGTCCGATGGAAGGAGAGCTTCGCTTTGGAGTTCTAAAAGCTGCAGTAGTGAAGATAAAACACAACAAGCTTCATGAAACATGAAGGAATTGGGGGACAGAAATAGTGGAAGTGCCCTAAAACTGGGTTTCTTGCCTGCCATGCCTCATCAAGTAGCCATACAGTAGAATTTAGTCGGGTGGCTAAAGATTTTCCAAGATTGACACTGGTGTACAATTGTTCAACCTACCACATGCTCTCTGGATGATTCATATAGAATGGTGCACATGACCTTAAACGTACATTTACTGTTAAATAAATCAAGAAGTTCACATAAGCCAGTCCTCTCTTACAATATTCCTATGATTCCCAGAATTCTAAAAATAAAAAAGCACTGTTTTGAAAATAACTTTCCAAAGTTATTTTAATATACATATCTTGGGATTCCAGTAGTACAAAGCAGCAGTACATTGCTGATCATGAAATCACCAGCTCATGAACCATTAAAAAAATTGCTGGGATTTGAAATTACAAAAATGCCGATATGTTGCTGTTGATAAAACACAAGCACTAATGAACAGCCTTCAATGTTGCATGAATTAAGCTTTGCACAGTGGGATGTTTAGTTCACACTCTCCCCATTGCCTCCTCCATATGCATCTTTAAAACATGCTACAAAGACCTGAAAGACTTTCCAGAGCACAGGATAGCACATTCAGGAAAGTCTGGCACTCTCCACACACACCCCACATCCCATTATGCGGCAGTGGAGCAAGTTTATTGCTCCTCTCCCAGAGAAATTATTTTGCTTATGTCAGCAGTGCACAACTTCCTTTATATTGAGGGTTATATTTGGCCTTTGACTGATGTGTGCTAAAAAGAAATTACATTTGGGAGAAAGAAGTGGGCAGGACCAGAATGAGAAGGACATAGCATTTAATTTAAATGTCATCCATGTGGCAGTGCGTATCCAACTTTGCCTGCCTTTGGAAGCTAACCATTGTTGAATCTGGATACTAATTGTGACAAATAAAGAAACATGTATGAGAGGCCACCAAGATGCCCTATAGTTAGAGGCTAGACTGAGAAGTGGAAGAAAAATCATAGACAACAGCAGTAGAAGACCCTTTGTCCTATTGCCCCCAAATCCTGCATGGATGTATGCCCA